AACGATCGAAATTAACAGAAGGACTAACGGAGTGCATTTCGTATAGTTGAGGGATCAAAAAAGTGCAAAAAATTGTTAAGGGATCAAAAATGTGCAACTCACTAAAGTTGAGGGACCAAATTTAGCATTTAACCAATAATAAACAATTGCTAGGTGCCCCTTCTTTATTGTTTTCTTTAGGGGTGGGCAAAACCGAAACCGGTTTTGAATTAACCAAAAAAAAATTTTCTTCAATTTTAAGAACCAAAATTGAACCAAATTTTTTACCAATTGATCGGTTTGTTTGTCAATAAAATCGGTTATTTTATATTTGGTTTCAGTTTTTACCAATAAACGTTAATTAGTTTTTTTTTCCAATAATAAATTATATTTTATGTCATATTTCATCATATTTTGTTATATTTATCTGAATTTTGATTTTTAGGAAGCTCATTTTGGTTTTTAATTAGTGAAAAATTCAATCGAAATCAAATCAAAAGTTATTCAATTAATACCAAACCAGAACAATAAAACCTGAAAACCATTGAAACCAAACCAAATTCATTTTTTTTGTTCAATTTCCAAATAACCCTTCAATTACCTACCCAAATGCCGACCCTTAGTTTTCTTTTTTCTCATTTTTTATCCAAATCATCATCCATGCTCTTCATTTCTAAACACGTCTGCAAAAAAAGCGCGCGGGGCTTGCAAAAAAATATCTGTTTGATCTCTAGCTTGCACATCCACTTAATCTTTTTTGGCTTAAAATATTGAATAAGATCTCAAACTTTCGCCAATTTTACAATTGAGGTTCCGAAAATTCATTGCACTCAAATAAGATCCTCAAAATTATCAAAATTCTCAACTAAGAACCCAATTGGACTAAAATGGTTAGATCCCTTAAATTAGTAATTAACACCGTTAACTCATTTGTTAAATATCCAAAATGGTCCCTAGCTTTTCTATTTTATCTTTCAATAACACTAAAACCTTTCATAACCTCAAAATGCCCCTTAAACTTGTTTTTTTTTTTCTCCTTTTTTATTGATGTGACAATTTTTTTGATGCATAACTAAAAATTAATTTTAATTAACTTAAATAATTTACTAATTAGTTAACTATTAAATGATTTCATTAGATATTAATTAGCCATTAAGTAAATTTTTAATTTTTAATTTATTAAATAAGAAACCTCATCCTTTATTTTTATTTATTATAAAAATGATGATAAATTTATGAACTCCTAATAACACCCCTATCTTCTTTCTCCATACTCCCTTTATCTTTCCTTTGTTTCCTTTTTTCTTAAATTAATTAGAAAAGTGATATGCAATCTGCCTGGCATGTGGATGGCACATCTTATAACCATTGACTCATCAATGGTTATAAAATGTGTTGTTCATGTAGGGCAGACAATAAAAGAGCTTCTCTTAATTAATTGTTATATTTTGTTTGTTATAGTTTCAAAAAATAATAATTTTTTATAATAGGCCACATAAATGTCAAATAAAAATAAAAATAAAATCAATTTTTAATACCATAAAAAATTAATTTTTAGTTATGGATCCCACAAAATTGCCACATTTACAAAACAAATAAGTTTAGGGAGTATTTTGAGGTTATTGAAAGTTTTTAGGGCACTAAAAGAAAAAAAGAAAAGTTAAGGGCCATTGTGGATATTCGACCAATTATAATTAATGACTAATTTAACAAATCTAATGGTTTCTAGTCAATTGGGAGTTTATTTGAAAATTTTGATGACTTTAGGACCTTATTTGAGAATTTAGATGACTTTAAGACCTTATTTAAGTATAATAAAACTTTGAGACTTTAATTGCAAATTTAGTGAAAGTTTGGGACCTTATCTGATACTTAACCCATCTTGTTTTTAGTAAAATTGTAAATGTTATGTTTTTAATTAAAATCTTTTGAAATGTGACAGTTTTGATTACTAGAGAAACAAACTATTTTATCTTTAATTAGAAAGTTTTGAAAAGGTTGTTTTCTTCTTTGTACAAAATCTCCAGAAATAAGTTGTACAAAGGAATGATTTAAGCAGTTAATTAAGATTGAAGAGATTGAGAAGTGAAAATTACTATGTATGTATAGTTTTGCTACAACTAAACTTAGAGTTGCATGATTATTAAACTCCATGACTGGTGTACTGATTGCCTCCTTTGATTTGCTGTCTCTTGATTTCTTTTGGTGATTATGGCATTGATTAAAAAAATAATAAAAAAAGGGAGCAAAGCTTGGGCGTCACTGGTTTGCAGCAGTCAAAAGTTGGTGACTTGGGCAGAAGCTAGGGTGAGTCGCAACCTTGGCCACTGAAATATCTATACTCCTTTCTGAGCAATTGAGCGATGGCTTTTAGATTTGTGGCTGGTAGATTCGTTGATGAATACCACCTACTGCAACTAAAAGGCAAGTCTTTAATCAAAGAAATTGTTACAACATTCAAAAGTTTAAAGTGGTCATGTGTCTACATGGAACATATGTTGGAAGGACTTTTTCAATAATTTGTCTGAAGTTTTCCACTGAAGAGGGCTTCATCTAAGAACATTATATTGGCTTATAAAGGGAGGAAAAGGAGAAATCTAGAGATTAGATTAGGTGGATGATTTTCTCTAAATTGACAGGAAGACTAAAAAAGTGAGAAAGGGGACTGTTGTATGCCAAAACCTTTGCTCTTCCCTAAAAGATACTCATAGTGACTTTCTTTCTACTATGTAGCTCTATTTGCACCAATACAATGATTATATCATACATATCATATATAATATACATAATTCTTTTTATTTAATTATCTATATTTGTTATGATATAATTTAAATCTGTATCTACTACTATAGGTAATGTTCTTGTTTAGAGAGAGAGAGAGGATATGAGCGCTACCACAATCCACCAGGTTCATTGCTTCTGCTCAAGAATGGAGGATTGATCAGTAGTCATTGAATTTATTTAATTATCTATATTTGTTATGATATAATTTAAATCTGTATCTACTACTATAGGTAATGTTCTTGTTTAGAGAGAGAGAGAGAGAGAGAGAGAGAGAGAGAGAGAGAGAGAGGAAGGATATGAGCGCTACCACAATCCACCAGGTTCGCTGCTTCTGCTCAAGAATGGAGGATTGATCAGTAGTCACTGAAAAATCATCTACAACTTAAAAGCAATCATGAATTCATGATAAATTGGTTAAGAGAAAAGGATGGAAAAAACGAAAACAAAGATATTGTTCTTAGAGATAGCTGCTATATGATTAGAGAGAGAGAGAGAGAGAGAGGATATGAGCGCTACCACAATCCACTAGGTTCGCTGCTTCTGCTCAAGAATGGAGGATTGATCAGTAGTCACTGAAAAATCATCTACAACTACAGCTTAAAAGCAATCATGAATTCATGATAAACTGGTTAAGAGAAAAGGATGGAAAAACGAAAACAAAGTTATTGTTCTTACAGACAGCTGGCAACTATATGATCCTTGAAAGAGGAAGAAGTCTTAAAGATTAGCAGATCTCCCCATTCAAAGCTCTCCACCTGCAAATGGGGCATGAATGCTTCCTCATAAGCCATGGTTCGATACACTCGAAGTGATAGGCATGGCCGAAAACAGGAAAAAAAATGTAAAGATGAGAAGATAATGGAAAAGAACATAAAAGGATAAGAGAGCAGAAAAAGATTAAGAAATTAATGTCCACAATAATCAACCTCTCTAATCCACAGAAATATACCTGGCAGATAGTGCACTCCCTGTGTTCCGCTGCCTCAACTGCGACAGGATGATATGTTTCCTAGGTCATGTAAGCCTAAATTGTTTCCTCAAGTAATCCATTTTCAAGGACTTGGAGTTCTGCTGCTCCCAAGGCAACTAGCCCCTAATGTGAAAC